TCGCTACACAGATCATCACATTGGGTGTCTCCCGACTCAATGACTCCAGATGACCTCAAGACACTATCAAGCTTACTTATCAGATATCGAACACATCTTTTGGAAGTGTGGCCTTTGGTCAAATGAAACCAAACCTACACTACGCGCAGCACTTGGCTGCTCAAGCTCTCCTACTCGGACCGCCATCATACACCGCGTGCTGGGCTGGAGAGCGTATGATAGGTACCATGATCGCCGGGTTGAAAAGCGGAGATCGAGGTGAGATTTTATAACCTGATCCACATTTGAATCCAAGATCACTAATCCTGGCCGTCCTTTTCACCTGTCTTAGGTGTAGTTGGGCACACTATGATCAAGCAACACACCCAGCGCGCAAATTACCTACACTTCCTCAGGAATGTCCCGTCAGACTATGCAGAAGACATTGGTGCAGATATAATACTCCAAAGTTCTTTGCCTAAATGGAAGCCTTGTGAGCTATCTTCGGACGTACTTGCCTCCACTCAGCCAATATTACACGCCATGGGTTTGGCGACATCAGTAAACTTTGATTCAACCACCTCTTGGCGACACGGTGGCAAGAATTTTAGTATATACTCTGAGCATGTAGGGAACAGCTACATAGAGTTTGAGTATGACGGCCATAAACGATCTGGCGTTATCCAGCACATCATCCGACCTCAACAAACTTCAACCCCAATCTTTGTGCTACACATTTTTCCTGATCTGGATCCGGTGGATGAAAACCGAAGTCCTTATCGTTTGCTACCGCATTTACACGCCACCGTTAAGTATAATGTTGATCTTTCACTTCTATCTATTGGTACCAATCAGATATTTGGTCATTGCGCTGCTCTCCATAATTCACCAGGGAAATTTGGCATCTCGAAGGCCACTGTGTCGTTGGTTAGTCTCAGAAGCATGGTGAGTTTCCATCATTTGTAATAGACGCAGATTAGAATCTATTGACCCAAACAATTTACCATTCTCAGGGTATCGCGGACATGTCAATGAGTTATGAGAAAACAATCTGATTGATCTCTCAATTCCTTTCAAACCACAATCCTGTCCGTTGGAAAGCGTATATATTTGTTGTATCATTTCTTTACGGCAATTAGGTGGATCTCTTTATTCCAACTGAAGAATATATATACACATATTTTTTTCTAACACTTTATTTATGTAAAACTTATGAACATATAAAAAAAAGACTAAATATATACATGTTTTCTTTAATTTCCGACCAGTGTTTTAGTCCAAACTGTTGACCACATGAATCAATCCTACATTGAAAGAGGAACACCAGCTAATTACAAAAATTATGGATATGGTTTGGTAGATTCTTCAACAAGCTTGACACGGGCTTCACTTGAAGTGCAGTCTTTTCTTCCAAAGTTAAGCTTGCAAGAAAAATGGGCTCATAACAATTTTCAGGCAGCCCAGGACAAACAGCACCTTTTGGATTAGTGTAAGTTGCAACTGTTCGGCATTGATCAAAGCGTTCGGAGGCCAGTCGTATCCCTTTACTCGACGAACAATATTTGAAGCTTAGTCTATCGAGCTGATGAAGTAAGTTAGTATATTGTTCACTTCGCCATGTCAATCCGACTGAGGGATAGTGCGTGTTCTCAGGCTGCCATTCTGTATCAGAGCAACAATCGTGATGCGGCAGAATTTCGGCGGCGTCATAAGAGGTATTACCGGCAAGGAGAAGACGTGATAATGAATCAGAGCGATACTTAAATAACTTGAAAATTCCCGAGATATCAGCATTCGCTTTGTAAAGATTGCATATTAAAAGGTGATCAAACTCACCAATCTTTTCTTGCGCCGAGTCTCCTTTGTGAGGTTTTTTTCGGGAGATCTTCGGTCTTGGCGAATTTCTTCAGCACGACCGCGCATCCATCGGAGCACTATCCCAATACATGTTTGTTCTGTGTTCTGGGCCGGAGTGATTGATTGTTGATCAAATACACCTTGTGATTCGGCGTATTGCCAATGTTTGACAATAAAGAATGCCATAGTACGGTTATATTGATCCCTGTCTAGCTTTGTCCAATCAAATGTCAAACGGTTGATCCCGTGGTTCTTCAAGTCGAGCAGGCAGAAGCTTTTGAAAGTTGAAAGGGTGTTTTCTTCTCCAGCATCATCGACAGTCATTTGGTTGGTCGTGAAAATCTCTCGATTAGCCATGATATGAGCTTGAGTAAGTGGTTTGAGTTGACATCTTTCATCGGGAGTAGGTCCGGGTGGATAAGCCTTGGTAATCTTGTCATATCCGAGCAGAAACCTTGTAAAGCTCGCAAGAGATTGTGAGATTGCTTCAGTCGACTTTGGAAGGGAGGTGTAGACCGATGCGTTCAACGCTTTCAAAGAAGTCACAGCAGCCCCCTTTTTCCAGTGATGAGATGAGCGAGCTTTCGAACCAACAAAATGATTAGGACTCTGCAAGGGAGTCAATTTGCGATGCGAAGAATTTGACAGACCCATTGTTCAAGACTTCAAGTTTGAAGTGTATCAGGTATCCAACACAACGGAAGATTTGAGGTAACAATTTCGTGCCCGTACGCAGACTTCTATATCTGAGGAATGCTGGCGAGTATGTTATGTTTGCTTATACTCATCGATTTCTCACATTGAAATCCTCTTATAGTCACCAAACGGGAGTTTGTTATCGACCTGTTCAGCACTATTGGATATTGAAGAAAGGCCACCTGAACCTTTCTTCCAACATCTAACCGTCGATTTAAAAGGTTGATTTCGTGAATCTTGGTTCACAAAGGGGTGGTGATACTTAGATCTCAGTCAACCAGCTAAACTAAATCGAAAAACTTCCATTTTTTTTTCAAACCTTTCGGTGTGTGCACGTCGCCGTGCTACCGAGGAACGGACATAGTGTTGGTGATAGGAACAAATCACCTTTTTCTGGGTAAAGTAGTAATAAGTCAAATCAAGAGATGAGTAGATCACATTATATAATCACATAAATAATCATAGTGGATCAATAATCATCTAATGGTGGACTTCATAAGTGTGGAAAGTATTTGAATCATTGTAACATGGTGGTTTGATATTTTTTAGTCATCTGTTGAAGGAAAAGAGGGCAAAGTTATTAATAATTATATTTCACAAGACTTTAAAAGTCACAGCAATTATATTTTAACATGATTGAATGTTTATGAAGCTTTGGAGACAAAACTATGAATCATTTGAGGAAGTTATTATGAGTAATAATAGATGCTTACCATATATCAAATCACAGCTTTACCACATCTTTAGATAACAAATGACTTATTCTAACACAGCATCATCAAGATTCTTATCGAGCAAAACTTAAACATCATGAGATAAACTGAATATCTATTCTATAACATTCAATACACAGCACATATACACAGAAATTAATTGTAAGAAGACTTGGCAATATAAATTAATCATTGTTCCTTGGTAAAGTAGTAATGAATCTCTGCTTATTTTGACAGTCATTTGCCATCTTTACTGGAAATCTGCGTGGCTCAGTTCACTTGAGCATTGTTGCCTTTCCTCCCATTTTGACATCTCCCAACCATATTTTGCCATTCATCCTGCCTGCTGCTCAGTAAGCAAGAAGTCAATCATGGCTTCCTCATTATCATTGGTCCATCTTGCCTTCATCTTGGGGAGATTCTTCATTGTTGTCAGAGGGGATTATCCATTAGCGGTACACAAACATCTCAACCTGACCTAATATAACCCATGGCAACCAAATCAATTTTTGGATTTTTTGGCGCTAAAACCTCAAAATCAATTGGGTTGCCATGGGTTTTTTGGATGGGTTTTTTGGGTAGGTTTTTTTGGGTGGGTCTTTGAGGTCAGGTTGAGATGTTTGTTTACCCCTATTTTTCTTGAAGGCACAACAAAGCAAAACCAAACTAATAAGGTCCAATTTTTTCCAACATATTTTTTTTCTTGCTATGTATTCAGAAGCTACTAGTTTCAGGTCTAGGGGAATAACCCGGTCAACCTGCAAGATTAAACCAAGACAGAAATTAACCAAGCAGGTTGACAAATTTGGATGGCTGAACTCAAGGTAGATGCCTCAAAGTTTGACCACAGTTTCTGTACCAAACAACAAAACTTCAAGTGTAATCTCATGATGATGATCATCCTTGAAGCCAAAATGAACAATAACAAGGAAATAATTGGTGATTCTTTGACAAACTGATTCTTCAGCAAAATATAGATAGTTGGTGTAAGCTTTTGTAATTTGAGGAAGGTGAGGAGTTGAAGATGAAGGATGAATATCTTCTGTAGTTCAGGATTTCTTTAGACTACAATAAACTTTGAAGTGTCAATCAAATCTTAGGTTTGAGATGGCAAGAATTGATTGACAAATGTATCAGATCCCAGATGTATAGACCTATCATAAACTCTTCATGAAATTCAATAGTCAATGATTTCATTATTGTTAATGTGATCCAACATCATTTTTGTTATAGTCTTTTGTATACTCATAATAAAGTTGCACTCATAGGTTGATTCTCATATCTCCTTTTTTCATATCTTGTTAAACCTCATCTGGTTTCTACCATCAATTGACTGATCTGATGAACAATGCTGTTTATGGCATTGGCATCTCTGAGTACCACAAAACTAGATTATACTGTATTCAAGACAAAGAGATAGCTCTAAGATGGATTCATGATTTGACTCCCCATGGGTCCTCAGCCTTCAGGGAGCTGCAGGGGCTACTTGATGCAGTTGACTACACCGCCAACATAGATGTCTTGGGTTGCAGAATCTGAGGCATCATCGGAGGTAAATCCTTGGACAGACCTTGTCTGAGGTAATCTTTTGCACTGAGAATTGCCTTGGATCAAAACCTTGGACAGCTTCTGTCCAACGTTTGGAATCCGATGATACCTCAGATATTCCAATCCGAGGTAAGTATGTTGGCGGTGCTAGCGTTTACTCAATGGAATGATCTTGAATCTTGAATGAGACATGAATAGGATTTCAGTGTGAGCACCGACCAAGGCACGACTTGGTGCGGAGTTCCATGAGGCTGAGAGTTTTGTGAGGATGTAAGGATATGCTAATAGTGAGGGATGCTCGGGTGCGAGTCTTCCCAGAACTGAGCTCAGAGAATTTTACAAACAGAAAATTCTTTGCAGCTCAGCATTCCCGCACAGCAAGTCTCCTTACTCATAACACAACTCAGCTACCTCGCAGGTCTCGTGATTCTTTTATTTTCATCATTCAAAAATTACCACCCACCCACCCGGCAGAGTCGCGGAAACCAGGTTTTGCGAGATGAGATCCCTTTTTTCTCATCGACGCAAAACTGGAGGCCGCCGGCGGCGCCCCCCCGTACCTTAGGATAACACGAATAGTGTTAAACTGAGGGGGAGGTTGGTGATCTATGATGATGTAATAAAAAGTCATCAGAACCACAACTCCAGTTAGAATGGAATGGAATGACAAAAGTTGAGTATATAAGTTTCTTTACATTTTTCCCTTCAATTTCAAGCTTTTCAACCAATCCTAATTGATCTTGATCAATGGACTTCTAGAAGGTAAATGATCAGTTGATAGCTTGATCTGTTTGTTGAGAAAAAACTGCAGACCAACTCACCACAAGCTCAATGCAATCAAAGTTGACACAAGCTCATCATCATTCACAGCCTTGTGGAGGCCATAATATGGAGATAATCTCTGTACTGATGAAACACTTCAGAGGCTCCAGAGGATGCATATAATGCGAGGAGGAACTTTGTCAAGTCAGCTGAATCACATGTATGAGCTTTGAAAATTGAAACAAGCCAGATCTTCTCAGGTGACCAGAAGGGGTGAAAGGGGTTTCAGTCAGGCAGCCCAACTGCAGAACTTGTTTCTGTTGACCAGTTTTTAAATCATCTTTCTTGCCTGGTCAGGAGCCCAAAGATCCAACTCAGGTGTGTACTAGGTGTGTGCTTAAACCAAAATGAATACTATACACTTTACACTGACTGAGTATGTGTGGCCCTTCATTTTACTCATGGTCAGTGGCATAAATGCCTTACCAGATGTCAAAAATCATGATGCACAAAATATTTTGGTCATTACCTTCATTAGCAACATTAAACTCAGCATTACAACCCAAGCCTAACCCATCAGGACCCATACAAAACTTTTCAGAAGGGAATATATGGCTTGATGACAGTGTCAATCAAGTAGAGAATCTGTATCATTTTGATACACCATGCACTCAAGATAACTTGAATTTTCATGACATAAACCAGGAAAAAGGAGAGGGACACATGCTTTATGATGCAATTGACCCTTGGAAATCACCATCTGATCATCAAAATGAATTTCCTTCTCATCTTGAAGGAGGACCTCAAGATGGAAGCTTTTATGATGTTTTGGATGCATACTGGAATACTTATGGTCAGCTAGAACCACTCTTGCAACCTGATGAGCTGGCATCTCATGGACCAGAAACCCATATGGAAAATGAGAAAACTGCAGATCAAAGCCAAGAGTTGCACTACAGATCTCCAAAATCTAGCATGGACTTTGATGCATTGGTGCATCCAACTCAAGATAATCTCTATCCACATAAAAGGATCAAAAGTGCATGCACTACCACCCATGACAATCACAATACTCCAACACCAGGGATGGAGGGATTTACATCCATAGGTACTCCTGAGAATGTTCCCTCAACATCAACCAAGTCAAGTACACCAGGTGATCTGATTCTTGATCATACAAAGATGGTCAAGAAGAGTCAACTTTTCCAGGACAGCAAGGATGTCCCTACCAATGAAGATATGTACCTCTACACCTTGTTGAATGAGTTTTCTGGAAACCTTGATCCCTATCAAAACCTTTATGACAGTCATTCAAACCGTCTACCTGGAAATGAGGGGTCTTTTGAAAGGCAATCTCAAGGTTCATCCTCAAGACAATCAGATCCAATTGGCCATTTGATTCAAGACCCTTCAAAAACATTCAATCAACACCAAAATGTCCAGGAAAGCCATAGGGTACATCACAATTCTCCATCTTCAGACATGGACCTCTATGAACACATGCATGCATCTTCAGAAAACTTCCATTCCCATGAAGGGAACAAGAGCACATGGCCCATCAAGACATACCACAACCAAAACGACTTCCCAGGAACTGGAGCTGGGGTCTCTGTAAGCCCAAACACTGCTCACAAACCTCTTTATCCTGGTCCAAGCTCTTTCCAAGGGTCAATGTCAAAGGCATCAAACAAATCAGACAAAGTATCTAGTTCCATGCAAATTCATTCAAATGTGGTAAATCATGTTGTTAGTCCAGAATCTGTGATTGAACCTCACAAAAAGTGTCCTCAGAATACAGAATGGTATGGTTATGATCAAAGCAATCTCATGGGAATTCCTTCAAACATTGTGGATCATGTGCTTAGTCCAGAATTTATGATGGAAATCCACAACATGAATCCTGCAAATTCAAACTGGGATGCTTCCAATGAACTACCTGGAGTTGAGCAGAGTATTTTACAGCATGAAAAAATGAACATCCAAATGAGATCAGATCATAGGATACCTGAGATGGAATCCACAACTAGTGAATTGCAATGGACCACTCCTCAACAAGCATCCAGTGTGCAGGATAAAGTAACTAAAACAGTTTCTCTTGAAACAGGCAATTCACCACCAAGCACAAGCCACAGTCCTCAGAGATCTGTAGCACCCAGAAACATACACCAGATTAAAAACAATGAGGATGTTGATCATTCAGGTTGTGTAGCTAGGTTCCCCCTCGTACCAAAATCCAAAAACAGTAAGTTTTCATCTGGCCCATGTAGCAAATTGCTTCCAAAGCTACAAAAAATTGGCGGATTCCTGGTAAATAACTCGCCAGGTTTGTGTTATGAAACCACATTTTGGTTTGAAAATCTAGAGAAAGATATGATTAAAAATAATAATCAGGGGGAATCAACATTGAAATTGATTGATAAAGCCATCAAATCTGCACATTTGAGAATAACAATGTGCTTTTTAGGTCTTGTTGGGATCTTTGCAAATCAAGGTGGTGATAGATTATCTTTAGAAGTTGTTTTGAAACAAGGTTGGAATTTGATAAAACTGCACTTTGAGGATTGGAGAAAGCTGAATATAATTGACAAGAATGGAAACTTGATTGTTCAGTCAAAGCAAAAGCTTTCAAGACAAAGCAACTTACATCACCCACTTTTCTGGTTCCATGACCTGAGTAAGCTTGCACAACCTCAAAGATTACCAGTTGATCTGGTGTACTATCTCAAAGCAAAATGGGATATGCAGATACCAACCTCAAAGATGGGTGTCAATAACTTGGCTGCATATCATTTAGAAATCCAATATTTCCATGATGTGTATATGAAACCTAGTCATGGTGGCTTTTATGGAAGAGGAGATATCAGAAATCTGGCATTTAGAGGAGTAAAATTGTTAGGAAAACACATAACACCTGAGACCAGAAACTTTTCAACATGGTATATAGTCTGCAAGAAACTGGCTGAGACTGCACAGTTTCATTCACCTATAGGATTTGATCTGTGTCATGAGGTTCACAGTTTTTTTGTGTCATTGATTGAACACCTATTGAACACTTACAAGGGATTATATCAATGTGATATATCATCCGCAGGAAAGACCCAAGGGGAAAAAATAAAGGATTTATCTATCTGTAATCCCCATGATGAAAATTTTGGAAGAATTGTCCAATCTATCAGTTTGGCTGAGTACAGAGTGACTGTGGGTTTTATAGGACTGGTGAGAGTACTTTACCAGAAGAAGATCCAAGCTGATACACTCATCTTATTACTGAAGAGTGCATGGGATTTCTTGAAAGGGATATTTTCAAAATGGAAAGACCTCAAATCGTATAACAATACTTTGGTATTTGATGGCAAGAAAATCACGCAGAATAAGTGGAAACTAGATTATTCAGATCCTCATGAATTATTCAATGCATTATGGCAACATGAAGATTACCTAAGAAATCCTATACCACTTTATTGTTTAAAAAGTCTTTTGAAGGCTTGGAATAAAGAGCTAGAGTTCCTACAAAAGTTACATCCAAATTCTTTCAATTTTGTCATCCAGGTCTTATCTGCCAAGACACCATTAGATTACAAAAAATTGTTGTGATGAATTGTTGTATTTTTGTTGTTTTCTTGTGGATATAATTTTGATTTTATCAAAAGAGCAAATCAGTAACCATAATCTTATCTGACAAGAATTGATGTGGATATAAATCCTGGCTTGCAGCACTGCCAACCTCAAAATCGGCAGCATACAATGGCCACATAATAACTTTCAGGAGGGGGAAAGCTCACACTGCCAACATAGATGCCATTCAAACATGATGAGGTTACCCATTTACATTGTTCCAAGCTTGAAACTAAGCTTCCATGTCAGAGCTCAAAATGTGATTGAGGGGAACACTGGCTTGAAACATTTTTTTCTTCCAACTTGATGAATACTTCAATCTTATCCTATTTTGATCCAAACAGTGATCTTGTGACCTAACAAACAACAATAGATTTGGAAGTTGCTTGTCATCTATCATAATCTACTCTATGGAATACATTACAAGGAAATTGTGAGCAATTGATCAAAAAAATTAAGACCATGGTAATTCAATGTTTAAGATTGAAGATTCAAGACTTCATCAGCATAGGTGCACTCCAATCACTGCCCAATAAACACAACTGTTCAGACAGAACACACATTTTATAAGATTTGAAGCAGAAATCAAAGCTTCAGTTCAAAATACTGACACATATATCAGTAATGATAACAACAGAGATGAAAGACACCCCATAATTCTATGCTAACCATACTTTTCTTAACTCCACAGGAAGCATATTGGAAAGTGACATGTTTTAGGCCATTGAATTTTGACAAGTAGAGTTTTGGAGGAGATATATTAAGAGTGTGTTCACTTAAGCAGTTTCTGGTGAGAAATCACATTCTGCAAAATTTAAAGTGTCTATTTGGTGGTGCATGTTTCATTCTTGCATTAAAAAATTACAGAATGTGATTTCTGGTCAGAAGTTCCTTAAGTGAACGCACCCTAAGAGATCTACTGATCTTACATTTATTGCAAAAAGAAAATTGTGGAAAAGAAGAAATTATCACAATTCTAAAGGCAGCAAAAGGAAAACTTAAACAAGAATCACGCAAAAAAACATTCAATCTTCA